CGCCGCCGACTTCATGGCGCGCCCTGGGCGCCTGGGGGCTGGCGGTGGCTGTCAGGGGTCGCCGGTAGCTGGCGGCGGTTGTCAGGGGTTACCGGTAGCTGGCGGCGGTTGTCAGGGGTCGTCGGGGGCTCCGGGCGGTGGTCCTGGCCCAGGACGAAGGTTGGCGGCAGCGGTTGCCGGCCGGGCTAGCCTGGGAGGGCGGCGGGGGCGAGGTGGGCGGCGGCAGGGACCAGCTCTACTGCAGTCCCCGCATCCCTGGAGCCGCCCTTTGACGCAGCAACTGGCGTGATTGCATCACACCCGCTATGGCGACCCTGCAGCCCCGGAAGCCCCCTTCCCGCCCGCGCGCAGACGCAGCCTGCTGCCTTGTACGCTTTCCCCTGCCCCCTTCCCCATCTTCTGCTTTCTCAGGGACACTTGGCCCTTCTCCTGGGCTACAGGGAAAGGGCATCTTCTCGGCAGGAGAGGGGGAGACAAGCACCAGCGTCAGTCCTTGCTGTGCCACTTGCTTGCTGCGTGGTCTCAGGAAGCTTCCCTGACCCTCTCTGGGGGTCTTGTGTGAACTTGGGCAAGTTGCTTGAGGTATCTCGGTGTCATCATCCCGTCTCTAAGACAGAATCTACCTCAAAGATTTGTTTTAAAGCACCACATACGCTTACCCTAGCCGTGGTGCATGCTAAGTGCTCTGTAAGCATTAGCTTTTTTGTCGTTTTTGATGTATTTCTTTGGGTCAATTTTTTATTGAGGTATAGTTTACATACAATAAAATGCACCATATTGTTGTGTTTTGTCTTGTTTTAAATAAATGTACTGGTCTTAGAGCTTTTGCCACCTGAGAGTGGCTCTGGCACTGTTATACAAGGTTGGTGGGAATGGAGGTTGGTACACAGATTCTGACAAAACACTTAAACAACGTACTTATACTGGGACTTAGTTATTCCACTTTGAAAATTTTCTTCCTAAAGGGATGATCCCAGCAATTACCAATGTTGGTGATTAGAACTACTGGAGTGAGGGTGGTTGTCATCGTGGTCATGGAAGTGATGGTGGAGGTGAGAGGAAGTAGACTAATCCAAGAGATATTTAGAAGAATTCACAAGACTGTCTGATAGCTTGGATCTAGGAAATCAGATAGAGGAAAACTCTAAGCCAGGGATTTCCAAAGTATAGTGGCTCTCCTGCTGTGGTTAACAGAACAGCCTGCAAGCTGCAGCCCTGGTTGCTCTCTACTTAGCTCTGCTCTGTTCCATCAACTGTGCTAAATCCCAGAACTTGTGCTGGGAATACGGGGCAGCAAGAAAATGTTGATTCTTCAGTGTGAATGGGGATACATAGGCTGGAGCCCTAAATGCTATAACACACCTCAGCAGGAGCCAAAATCTCGTGTTTATTCTTGAATTCTAGTCTATGCTTCAAAAACCCGCTCTTTCAGTCTGCAGCATCTTCTTGCGCATAAAAAAAGAACCATTTGGAAGCACCAAGAACAGCAAACAGATGACTCGGAGGCCTGCCCGTTCGGTCAGCACCACGGACAGCGACACCGTTTTAGCTCCTGGAGCTGGCTTTGGGGCCCACCCAGGAGGCTGAGAAGGTGATGTAGGTGGTGTAAGCAACCAGCAGATCTCCCTATTAGTGGAACTAAGTGCCTGCTCCAGAGAGAGACAAAACGTACCTGAAGTCAAGCAAATGTCAGGCAGGGGGTGCTGAGTGTGCACACAACAAAGCTTTCATTCCCTCCTGGACCAGGGCTCCTCCTGTCCCAAATTCATGGACAGCAACATCAGGTCTGGTTTCCTCTGAGGGCCAAAGCGCCTCCTTAACAGGGGCCAGAAGTCTATGTGTTGGAATGTGGACAAGGGGTCAGAGAGTGCAATGGCTAATTCCTGAGGTGGATGGTTCACATAAAACAGTCTCCTTAGAGGTTCTTGCTCTCGTTGAAAAATTGAACTGTGTTCTCCAGAATGATGAGGTATGCTTGGTTCCTTGGTTTGGATTTCCCCAAAATCACACTCCTATAATGGTTAATTTTATGTGTCAACTTGACTGGGCCACAGGGTGCCCAGATATTAGGTCAAATGTTATTCTGGGTGTTTCTGTGAAGGTATTTTGGGATTCAATTAACATTAAATTGGTAGACTGAGTAAAGAAGCTTGCCTTCCATAATGTGGGTGGGCCTCATCCAATCAGTTGAAGGCCTGAATAGAACAAAAGGCTGACCCTCCCCCGAGTGAGAGAGCATTTTTCTGCTTGACAGCCTTTGAACAGACACATTGACTCTTCCTGGTTCTATAGCAGCCTGCCTGCCTTTGGACTTGAACTGTAACATTTGCTGTGCAGATTTTGGATTTGTCAGCCTCCATAACTGTGTGAGCCATTTCCTTATCATCTATATAGATATAGACATAGATATAGATAAGATGTAGATATATAGACATAGATACAGATAGATTGATCCATCTATCTATCCTATTAGTTCTGTTTCTCTGGAGAACTCTGACTAATACAGACCCTGAGACAAGGACTTGGGTCCAGGTGGCTTTTTGGGAGGTGAACCCAGGAAGCACATGTGAGGGTGGGAAAAATGAGACAGGGAAGGAAGACAGGCTATGAAAGGGTGCATTAATGAGCAGGTTACCACAGTGGGCGATTAGGGCTCAACTGTTCTGAGCACTCTCTGAGAGACTGTGTGGAGGGCATCTCAGAATTGTTTCACTGCAGGCTGGGAGGCCGAGGCATTAATCCACCATTCTCCTGTCTCCTATTGTCAGGAGCTGTTTCTGGGGCATTAACTTCCCTGTCCTTTGAGTTGCTCCTGTGTGTGGCTCAGCAAACTCCCCTGACGCTGCAGAGAGCCCTCAGCCAGAGAAGCAGGCACTTGGGGTGGGGAGCTGCGATTGTGCTGGAAACTGTTTACCACAGCTGCAGGTGAGCTCAGGGGTGGGCCTAGGGCATATTGGGTAGGGCATCAACAGTGCCCTCTTCACTTGGCCACTACAACTCATATACAACCAGAACTTTGTAACTTAGAAAATGTGCATGAGTTCACAAGGCTTATTACATCAGGAAAGAAAGTCATACTAGAAATGTACTAATAATACCTGTAATACAGGTATTCAACTTGGCAGTACAAAACTCTCATCAATAAGCGTTAATATTTTTCACTCTGGCACACAGTATCACAGAGGTCTGCAGTTACGTTTGAATAGTTTATTCCTTCTTTGCTTTTATTCAGGGTACTCAAGCCCAATCCCCCACAATGAACTCTCTCCACTATGCCTACAGGCTGCCGAAGGGGATCTGAATCCAAGACCAAGAGACCCGCCAAACTTTTACCTAAAATAGGTTAGATAATTCTGGTCACCACTCCAGATATAAGCCTTAGAGTGCACACCTACTGACCCATTCTGACCTTTGTCTTATCACTTTCTCTTACGTTGTCGTTAACTCTCCTTTACCACAATACAAGTATCTCCCAGGCCCCTGTTCACAGCCTCTGTTTTAAATGGACTTAGGTAGCCTTTCTAAGCCTTGCCGTTCATTTCAGAACTGATACTCTCAAGGATGTCATGATTCTTATGTGATTAATTAAATGGAATCCATTGTGCGGGGTGGCTAATGATTAAAAATTTTAATAAGCACCATATTCATGAATTTAGAGTTGTGCTTTGGGATTAAGTAATTACCATAAACTAGCAATAGGAGTGGGCCCTCTCAAAGGTGTGCCCATTTCCCAGGTTTTGATGGCCCACCCTACTCACTTGATTTCATACCAGGGCTTGAGGCAGCCTCCACTACACTCTAGCATGACGAATTCTCCGGATATCCTCCCTCCCCTTCCCCCAACTGCCCCTCAGTTTCATCACATTACTGTTGTCATTTTCAACAATCTGCTAAGGGTTCCAGAGCCAGTCTCCCTCCAGGTATGCAAGCCTAAGGCAACTTTCTCAGGCCTCTTCCCTCTGCTTCATTGCATTGCTGTTGACAGCCTTGGAACTCACATAAACCAAGTTTTCAATCTTGCTTCTGATCAGAAGCATCCTTTCCCAGGGCAGTATTTGATGACTTCCACAGAGACTTTTTCTGTCTCCTGGCTTTGATTCCTACCTGGCATTACTAGTGGTTACAGCCTGTCTATTGACAAGCTACAGCCTGGGAGCAAGACTTTCAGTCCAGTTGAACATGTTCCACCTATCCTGTGCACGACCCCAGAATGCTACCAAGGCAGGGACTCATGCCAAGTGTTGGCATCATAGGGGGACTGAGGTGTCAAAAAAAACTCTTCCAGTGATTCATACTGGGGATGCAGGGATGGTTCAACATCCACAAATCAATCAATGTGATACACCACATTAACAAAATGAGAAATAAAAACCACATGATCATCTCAATATATGCAGAGAAAGCATTTGACAAGATCCAACATCCATTTATGATAAAAACTCTCAATAAAATGGGTATAGAAGGAAAGTACCTCAACATAATAAAGGCCATATATGACAAACCCATAGCCAATATCATACTCAAAGGGGAAAAATGGAAAGCCATCCCTCTGAGAACAGGAACAAGACAAGTGTACCCACTCTCACCACTCTTATTCAACATACTACTGGAGGTTTTGGCCAGAGCAATTAGGCAAGAAAAAGAAATAAAAGGTATCCAAATTGGCAATGAAGAACTGAAACTCTTGCTGTTTGCAGATGATATGATTTTATATATAGAAAACCCTAAAGAATCCATTGGAACACTATAAGAAATAACAACTACGGTAAAGTTGCAGGGTACAAAATCAACTTATAAAAATCAGTTGCATTTCTATACTTTAATAATGAACTACCAGAAGGAGAACTCAAGAATACAATCCCATTTACAATCACAACAAAAAGAATAAAATATCTAGGAATAAATTTAACCTAGGAGGTGAAAGACCTATACAATGAAAACTATGAGACATTATTGAAAGAAATCGATGATGACATAAAGAAATGGAAAGATATTCCATGCACATAGATTGGAAGAATAAACATAGTTAAAATATCCATACTACCTAAAGCAATCTACAGATTCAATGCAATCCCAATCAGAATCCCAATGACATTCTTCACGGATATAGAACAAAGAATCCTAAAATTCATATGGGCCAACAAAAGACTCTGAATACCTAAAGTAATCCTGAGAAAAAAGAAGAAAGCTGGAGGCATCATAATCCCTGACTTCAAAATATACTACAACACTATAGGAATCAAACCAGCATGGTATTGGCGCAAAAACAGACACACAGATCAATGGAACAGAATGGAAAGCCCAGACATAAAATCACACATCTACAGACAGTTAGTCTTAGACAAAGGAGCTGAGAACATACAATGGAGAAAGGAAAGTCTCTTTAATAAATGGTGTTGGGGCCGGCCCTGTGGCTTAGCGGTTAAGTGCGCACACTCCACTGTTGGCGGCCCGGGTTTGGATCCCAGGCGCGCACCAACGCACTGATTCTCCAGCCATGCTGAGGCCGCATCCCACATACAGCAACTAGAAGGATGTGCAACTATGATGTACAACTATCTACTGGGGCTTTGGGGAGAAAAAGGGAAAAAAAGGAGAAGGATTGGCAATAGATGTTAGCTCAGAGCCGGTCTTCCTCAGCAAAAAGAGGAGGATTAGCACGGATGTTAGCTCAGGGCTGATCTTCCTCACAAAAAATAAAAACAAAAAAAATAAAAAAAAAGAATACAAGAAAATGAAACTTAACTGTGAACATTTAAATAAATAAATAAATAAATAAATAAATAAATAAATAAATAAATAAATAAAAATAAACCTCTTCCACTAAAATTTTCATCTGGAGCCACTGAAAACATTGAAACCTGTCTCATTCCCAAAATTTCTTTAGCAGTGGGGCCCATCTACTCAAGATGTCTCCTAAAGGGATAAGTTGGCATTATGATCCAGACATTTCTCTCTGATAGCCAGTAAGAACAACTATGGTCACTTAAACTTTTGTTTACAGTTGACTTATTATTCCATAAGATA